CGCTCGAAAGATTAAGATGTTTAGAGATACTGGATCCTTTATTGACTTAATAGGAAGAGATCATGTAACATCGGAAATGTTGTTAAAGGAAACTGTCTTGATCAAGCAACCTTTGGACCAGCAACCAGTCCGGTTGCCTCTTGCACAAGTAGAACTCGAAGGAGAGAATTTTGGGAAAGTAATTACCAAAGCAGCAGTAATTAGCCAAGACCTCAATCAGGAATACTGTTTATTGGGTAATCGAACAGCTCAGTTGATTGACCGTAGTATAAAGATCTTTGGTAAAGATAATACAGTACAAGCGAAGACGCCCAGACAAGATGCAGCTGTTAACCCAAACAAAAGAAGGGAGATGAAAGTCAGGGAGTCCGTGCAGATGAAAAAGGGAAGTTTCCCCGTTGAGTCAGCTAAGACCCGAAGCAAAGAAAGGGTAAAGTGTCCTCACCGTTCAGACAACAGTCAAGAAGTGGACAAATCAAGATAACAAAAGCGGCCATTAACCCACGAAGTGCATGGGTTAGATTACAAAGAAAGCTAAACTTTTAGACGATGGTCCACCAGGACGAATTTTTGTCTGGAATTCCGGAAGAAAGAACTTGGAAGGAAAGGAGTGCAGGAAGACCCCCAGAGCGTTTTCATTCACAATGTGCTGTTCTGAAATCGAAAGCTGAACATCAAAATCAAACAGACAACTGGCAAAGTAGTTTGGAAGATAGGAACAAAATATTGAAACATAAGTGGAAAACTCACAGACATAATAAAGGCTCAGAAGTGCGAAAACGCACCAAATAAATTGAGATTTTATCTGAATGAGGTCCCAATAGGAGCCGAGAACTTGTTTTGAGTACAATCATTTTTTGTTTGTTTTGTTTATTGTAGTACTTTGTATTTGTTAATTGTGTGTTGATCCTTTTAGAATTATGTAAGATTTATTGTGTTACTTAGCTTTATAGTACAGTTGCAGCCTTGTAACTTTGAGGTTGTTTATCGCTCAGGGAGGCTAAATAAATAAATGTCGAAGGGCTGAGTCGTCTAGAGGAAACACTCTATGCTAGGGTATGATTGTTTCTCATTCGTTTATTGATATGTATTTTTTATAATGTGTAAATATTATACCAGACTAATATACAGGTTGTTTTTGTTTCCTGTTAAGCAAATTGTAATGTGTGTATACATATATGTATTGAATTTATTAAGTTCTCGCCTCTAAGGGTAATGCCCAATTGACATATATGTGAACTATCTATTAGTGACATTATTATTATTGAATACAACAATGTTCTTGTATAAACGTGCTTGAGGATATTATTTAGAGGACAGAAATATTTACTCCTGTGTGTTGTTTTTATGAACTAGTGCAGAAGTGAGGTGAACTTTTCTCTCGTTTAAACTCGAGAAAAGTTCTTTCCAAAGGGGAAGGAATATAGCTGTAATATCTTAAGCTATTTTATCGACCACCACGAAGTTCTGAGAAAAAGAATGACCACCTCGAAAGTTTCCACGGACAAAGTATTTCTTAAACGAATTCTCGGAAAGAGGAAGTGACTAGCAGTCACAAAACAATCTAGGTTTTTGTTCCTCTTATAGTTTTTCGAAGGGAAACATTGTCCCGTTCCCTTTCATCAGTTTATAGGTTCAGTGTCTCAGGCCACCCGGTTTGAGTCCCCAGTTGGAACCAGGAAAGTTCATATCCAGTTGTTAATCAAAGTGCTCTTGCCAATCAAGAGGTGCTTCTTAATTATGGACAAACAAGGATCCTGGAAGTTTTTCCGACACACCCAGGACAACGTGAACAAAATCATGGAACTGAGTTCCAGAGAGGAGAGCGAGTGAGAGTTAGTTGCAGTAAATAGAGAGAGAAATTGTCTCTCGGTTTTTCCAGCTGCGCCACGAGCAAATTTTTGCTTCACTCTACATAGAGCGATATTAATATCTCTGCCCAGAGATTTACAGCGAGGTAGCCGAGTTCGCCGCTACCTTACGAAGAGCATCCTGCTTGTACACAGTTCAGTCCTACAACCACCGGCTTAGAGATTAACTCTAAATAGTTTTATCTTGAACCAACCCTCAGCTTGAACTATTTTCAAACAAGAACTTTCATCTTGGTTGAGTTCTAAACAGGAACTTTATTCACACCTTCTGGAACTGGTTATATTTCTTTTCCCCTCACCCTACTGTGAGAACAATACTTTATAAGTTTATTTATTTTTATTTTTTTTGCATATAGCCTAGAAAGAACCCAAATAAATTTATTTACGCTACCTCTTCCCTTTTGAATTTGTCACGGTATATTCAGTTTCTTTCTTCTTCACGCTTCCTTTTAGTTTTATAAGTTTTGGATTTAATTAAAGATTTCTGTTAGTCTAAAAAAGGAAAATAAATAAAAGCATTTAGAATGTATAGAGAAAGCTGCTATTTTTTGTTTGTTTGTTTGAAATATGAACATTCAGAAGAAATATGAAATATATATGGTAAGGGCTGGTTACAGAGCTGGTGTGGCAGAAATTTTAGAATTTAGTGACACACCGAGCAACAAAATCTAGAAATGGCAAAACTTTTAGAATTTAGAAAGGCACTAAAAAGCAGAATTTAGGATCCCCTGAGATTGCATCAGGTAGGAAAATGCCTAGCGCCAGCTCTGTGTATGATGCATTAACCACTTGCGCTAAAATTTTGTCTCAAACCGCGAGCAACGTGAACACCCTTGTCGACAGGCATTTATCAAAAAAATGAAAATAACGTGGTGCACACATCACCTAACAACGAGATTGTTTATTTCTCGAGTTACAGCTTTGGATTGCACTCGCAGATGCGGAGCAGCGTAATTGAGACACTTTACCGCTTGTTATATCGTAGCGCACGGCACCGCAACCGTGAAGTTTAGTCATATCGCAAGTGGTTAAGGCATAAGTTTTCAAACCCTTTATTAATAAAAAAATTCCTTTCTATAATGCCTGTCCATGTGATAAGATTAGAAGCATTTTTGATGTTTTCCATGCTTGTGTCTAGTGAAAAGTAGAGCAAACAAAGGGAAGATAAACGTGTTAAGATAAAAGATTCTTGTATCAGAAGTAAAACATTCAAATATTATGTTTCCATTGTTCTTCCAGATGTTTTCCAAAAAGTAAGAAATTAATTGCAAACATTTTGTAAAATACATCCATTACATGTTAATACCATGGAGACATTTTTCATTTTGTCACATATTTCTGAAATCTTCTAGAATCATGGGTCTATAAATCTTGCCTTCAAATCCTTCTAAACTTTTCAAGCTGCAGTGTCTAAAATCCTAAAGAAACATTGTCCCTACCAATTCTGTAATGGCAAAAAGGCAGAAATATTTTGGAAAAAGAAATTAAGAAAGAAGCTGATGAAGAATATACCATTAACAGAATGCATTAGAAGACAGGCCATATTTTTAGCAGTTAAAGATCTTATAAACTCTGAAAATATTTCTATAAATAAGTTTGTAGACTTTGCAACTGATGGATCTCTTGCAACTGTAGGCAGAGAGAAGGGATAACCAAGTGTCATAAAGACAACAGCTTTCTGAAAGTTCTGTCTTACCATTGTGCAATATACCAGGAGTCGCAGGAAAGTTTTTAGGTATGAACAATGTAATGAAAATAGTCATAAAAATAGTGAACAAAGTTAGAGTACAAACAATTCAGAGAAGTTTGTTCAGAGCACTGATAGATGAACTGGACTGTCAGTATGGTGATCTAGTGCTTCATACAGAGGTTCGTTGATTGAGCAGAGGCAGAGTTTTAAACATTTTAAAGAGTTGCTTCCTGCTTTAGAATTTTTGAATGAGGCAAATCCTTCCATGAACAATAATATCTGGTTTGGCAGCAGGATTTTGCTTTTCTCGCAGACATCACCAATGAACACTGGAGAACTGTATTCGAATGGCAGCCACTACCTACTCTCCCAACATTAAAAACTTGTTGTTGACAAAAAAGTATTCTATCATTCTCACTAAAGTTAATAAGTCTGATAAAAAAATATGTTATTACATTTGTTATTTACTAATTATACATCAGTTTTCTTATGTACAATTCAGTTTCAGTTCCTTTTTGTTATATACAGTTTAATTAAAATTGACTTCGTATTTACTAAAAATGTAAGGTTTGTTTGTAAGTTTGTAGTTCTTTTGGTTGGTAGCTCATAGTAGGATTTAAAAACAGTACATTAGCTCAGAAGCTTCTAAAGTTTGCGCCCACTGTTCTGTATGAACAATGTAACCATAGTATTAATGTAGTATTTAGGGTAGCATATAGTATTTAGGGTAACCATTTGTTCTGGGCACACCTAAATTTTCCTTTCCTAAAAATTTTACCTGTGTACTCTTCTAGGCCTGATCAGACTCCCTACCCTCTTTTTTTTTTTTTTTTTTTTTGGTTGTGTTTGTTGAAATTCCAAATTTAAAAGGTAGCGTGCCGAAAAAGGTTAAAACTATCTTTGCACAAGGTTGTTAAAGCATATTGTGGGGGGGGAGCTAAGATATGTTAAACAAAGCAGTATGAACAATAATTAATATCAGTCTAGCCCCCCAAAAAAGGTAAAGTTTATAAGGTAATTAATAAGATGTTAATTAAATTTCAGCATGTATAAAAATAGGCATTGAAGTTTTAATACTGGTAGCAAAATATTATAGGTACACATTAGTGCACCATCTCATGTAGCCACTCACCTCTTCACAGAAAAAGCATCATTCAATGAAACTAATACATTAACTTTTTAATGATCAAGTAAAACATGAACAAGTACATGGAGTCTCTAAATGACCCCTTTTGCAAAAAAGAGCTCATAATACAAAATAAAAATCCAGTGTTAATTTTAGACATGTTTAATAATATTAAATAAAATCTATACTAGCAAATGAAATATTTAAAAAATACACTAGCACCCTGGTATAGTTTCACGAATCTACCTGATCACTGGAAGATTGAGTAATTTTAAATTATTACCATTACATATTTTAAAAATATAATACTTACGTGGAAATAAGCCAAATAATAAGTATAGCCTCATAACAGTTGGAAAGTAAAATGAAATGTTCCATTTATTTGGAAGAAAAACGCTAAATCTTTTTGATTCTTCAAAATAAGGAATGTTCCGAAGAATTATAATACCTACAAATTAAAAAAGAAATTTTAAATTATTTTTTTACAAACAGCTATCTAGAATGTACAGTAGACTCCCGATTATCTGCGGGTGGTTTATCCGTGCCTGCCGCACAAAGTTTTTTTTTTTTTTTTTTTTTCAAGCGTAAAGCAAAGAAAATAAAAATGTTCACAAAACTGAGCGAAACGTTCAATTTGCTAACCTCGTGGTTATTTATGGCAAAAATATCCCAGGCCTTCTCGGAAACTTCCCCTCTAATGAGTAAGTAATTTCTTACTCACCCTTGCAGTGCCCGCTCCACCGCCCTCTCTCGTCTTACTGACACATCCACTTCCTCCCACTCGCCATTGTTAGTTTAAGCCTGAAAGTGTTTGTGAACCGGTCGGAGTTTATTTCTTATCTTTTATTGTGTTCAGTGTTTGTGCTTTTTGGTTTTGTGTTTTTCGTTACTGATTTAAAATGTCAAGAAAACGAAAAGAAGGTTGTGTTTGACGATTGCGCAAAAACTAGAATTAATTTCCAAAGTAGCAAACGGCGCTACAAGGCAGCAGATGGAATTGGATTACGGAATATCGGAAACAACAGTGCGTGACATTCTAAAGCAAAAAGACAAACTGGTGAACTTTGCATCAATGTCGGACAGTGCTTCCGCAATGAAAATGCGAAAAACTATGAAGGGTTCTACCTTTGATGAGCTAGACACGGCATTGACAGAGTGGTTAGCTCAAGTTCGAAAAGAGGGTACTCCTGTAAATGGTCCTATCATTGCGGCGAAGGCAAAAACCTTTTTTGAGTTGTTAGGCCTGAAAGGAAATTTTGATGCGTCTTCTGGCTGGTTGACTCGTTTTAAGCAGCGACATGGAATTCGAGAAATTTGAACTTCATGGGGAGAAACTTAGTGGTGACCAACAAGCAGCCGACGATTTCCACCATGAATTTGAAGAATTTGTTTTAAAAGAAGAGCTATCTTTTGAACAAATTTACAATGCCGACGAATCGGGACTTTTGTGGAAATGTCTTCCCACTCGCACTTTAGCATTTGAAAGTGAAAGTAAAGCGGCGGGTCATAAAAGCAGCAAGGAAAGGATCACTATCATGTCTTGCAGTAACGCTACCGGTGGACATAAACTTAGACTTGTTGTCATTGGAAAGTAAAAAAAAAAAAAAAATCTTTCAAAGGCACAAGGATAGAAAATTTGCCCGTTGATTACTTTAACCCAAAAAAAAAAGGATGGATGAACCGAAACATTTTTCAAGAATGGTTCGAAAAAATCTTTGTTCTTCAAGTGCGTAAACATCTTAAATCGAAAAACCTGCTTGAAAAAGCTGTGCTATTGATCGAAAACGCATCTTCTCACCCAGCAACAAGCGTGCTAAAGTTTTCTGATGGACAAATTTTTGCAAAGTTTCTCCCTCCAAACGTTACTGCGCTAATCCAACCCATGGACCAAGGAGTCATTGCAACAATGAAGAGAACATACCCAACCAAGCTGCTAATGACCAAAATTGAAGAAGGTTATGATCTGAAAGAGTTTTGGAAACACTACACAATCTTGGCAGCATCTACGACATTGCATCTGCATGGGACTCAGTGAAACCGTCAACCCTCATAAAATCATGGAGAAAACTCATGCCTAATGTTGAAGCCAACAACAACCTAACCCCTTTGAGTTGTGAAGAAGAGAATGAAGATGTAGACACGGCCCACGGCAACTCTTGCCGATATGGTGAAAACAGTTCCGGGTGGTGAGAACGTCGATGCTGAAAACATTAACGAGTGGTTGGAGTGTGACGTCAACGAACCTGGCTTCGAACGCTTGACAGATGACGAAATTGTGAAAAAAGCAAGGGGAGAGACCGAGAATGAAGGACAGCAAAGTGAAGGCGAAGAAGAGCCCACTGTGCAGATGCGGAAGACTCACGAAGGGCTTTGCAACAAGTCGACGGACTGCTGAGCTATTTGGAAGAACAAGACGACGCGGAGTTGGCCGAGAAACTTATGCTACGAAAAATGCAATCTCGGATCAAGAGAAAATGCTTCCAAAGCAAAAGCAAACACAAATGACTGATTTCTTCAAAAAGGTGTAGTTTTACAGTTATGCTTTTGTAATTACATAATACATTACAGTATTAAAACAGTACATATGTATTAATTTTTCTGTGTATCCTTGACGCCTCTCGTAAGTACAAAAGCACTTTTCTGTTTTCATTAACAAAATGCATTTTAGGTTAGTTTTGAGTGATATACTAAAATATTAAGCGTTAGTTAAACATTTCCTGCTGTTTATTTTACGTTTTATTGTACATAAAACGATTTTTCAAAGTTGGAATGACTGTTTTCTCTTTTGCTATACCCGTTTTTAGCTTTTTTCGGATTATCTGTGACTTTTGTTATCAGTGGTGGCCGCGCCACCCAATTCCGTGGATAATCGGGAGTGTGCTGTAAATCATTATTTTAAGATATTTATTCAATTTTAATATGTATTATATAATTACATATCTTACTACTGAAAATCTAATAAAATTACATAAATTTAGCCACAAAATAAAAGAGAATAATAATCTAACTGTTAGTTACTATATGTAAGTGTATAAATAATTACCTTGTTGATTACTTTTACTGTTTTTGAAATTATCAACTATCTTATACTCATTCGGAGCAATATTTCTTAATAATAAATACAGAATTGTTCCTTGCAACCAGTTCTGTTCTTTGTTGTCATCATCTTTCCCCCCCCCCCCCAAATCAACACTCGGGATTACAAATCTCGATGATTTACTAATGTAGTAAATGCATGCATATCTAGTATTATGAGAATGAAGTTTAAAAAATCTTCTCATAAAAATTATAAATTTTATAATCTATTCTAAAAGAATTCCAAGTGCATAAAGTATAAAATATCTTTTTTCTCTTACTGAAGTTACTAGTTACAAAGTCTAAAAGTATACTAATAAGTGATTATGTCTATTTTAAAAGGATCAATTTACATAAAAAATTAACAGATGAAAACTATTTCACATGGACGTTTAAAACTTAAATAAATGTTTAAAATGTTTAAAACTTTAAACTTAATTTAAAAAAAAGATTAGATACTATGGTATTTGGGAGGAGGCAAAACAGTTAGTGATACTTAGTTCAGTAAAGATCACAAAGCAAGAATTTTAATATCCTTAAATATTTCAGTCATAAATCATATATGTTTTGCATAGTAAATTTGCTGAAAAAAAGAAGTGTTGAAAAAATTAAGATCAGTTAATGAACATGTAAATTTAACAGATAAATTGTTTCCCCTTAGAAAAGTATATTCTGTTAAATTGAAAGTTTAAAAATTCAAAAACACATTAATGCAATATTAGTGCTGGCTGAAAAACTGCATAGTATAGGTGAAAAAATTAAGGAAAAGACAGTAAAATCTTGACTATCCAGAATGCTCAAGAAATGCCAAATTCTGCATATATATAAGAAATTTACATTAGAAAAGCGAAATCACTAGGGAAATTGTCTGCTCCAAAGTTTTAAAAAGAAGCATCTCATTTGCTATCAACTTGAATATTAAGACTAAATTTAAAATTATATACGATTTTGAAAAAAAAAATGCATTTCAGACATCAAGGACGGCATATTTCATAGTCCTTAAACATGAAAGTAAAACACTTTAATTATGAATTCCCACCAAATATGAAAGCTAGGGGAGATGTCGGCAATCATTCCGGCAGAAGTTAAATGAGCAGATGATCCTTTATTTAGTTAGATAATAAAGAGACACAAATTATGGAAATAGTACATAAAAAATTTTAATCACTTATAAATTTTCACATTACATAGGCATCGTTTAACTGTTTTCAAATTCGTATATGGTGGCTTTCATTGAAGCCCAAACCCTGTAACTTTGAAAATACTTCATGCAGTCTAAAATATTAATCATTTTTTCAAAATGTGAGTAGAAAACAGAACTTATGTCCATCTTCACAAAAAGTAAATTGGCTTATTAGGAATTAATCGAATTTGCATTAAACCAAAATAAACATTTTATGATTGTGTTATGACATTAATCTTATCCATTATTGGCACTAAGTCACACTGTTTGGTGACAATGTGGCATTACAAATCTTTCACTTACTAAATTCTTTGGGGGAAAAATTTTTCTAAAATATTCGGTTTACTTGAGCATTCATAGATAGTCAGGCTTTTATAGTAACTAGAAAGCAATTTTACTATTTTTTCCCAAATTATTACAATACGTTAACAGCAATTAACAAATTAGTGGATGACTATTGTAGACATGCTGAAACTGTGGAAATTCATAAGTGTGATTCAACTGCTTCAAACATCTGAGCATTATAGGCTTGGCCCTGAAAGCCTAAAAATCTCCGAAATATCAGTAAAGTGGTATTTTCTTAATAATTCCAAAATGACCCTTTCACTTAGTACCTTGACTCTTTGTCTTTCAATATACAATCAATCTGAAATTGGATCCACCAGTAGAGGGCAGAAATTTTTGGTTGGTTGACTTTTAATGGCACAAAACCTTGAAGGTTATTATGCACCAAACGAATGGTGAATAAAATTCAAAATGCACAAGCACACTGTATCAGATGAATTGTTGAAATGAACCTGCAATGCTGATAAAGGCATGGAGAAACGACTTTGAGAAATGCTCTAGCAACATGTAGAGCAGGATAAAAAGAAAAAACTTCAAATCTTAAGGATAAAAAGAAAAAACTTCAAATCTTATAGTAAAAAAAAGATGTCTTTTAAAAATCTTATGAGGTTGATGTGAGGGTTTTTTCCAATGAGATCTGTTAACATTCGTTGAGTGAAAATGACATTCACGTTTCTGACTAAGAGTAGGACAGCAGGTTAAAATGTGATTGACTGAAACGGGAACGTTGCAAGGGCCATAAATACACTCATTATCTCTTTTCAAGAGATACTGATGTGTCAGTCTGCAGTGACCAATTCGTAGGCGAGTCAGCAGTACATCCTCCTTTCGATTCCCTCTTGACT